TTATAACATAACCAAAGTAAAGCGCGCGCTCTGATTGGTCAATTTAGCGTCCCCCATTTGCCCATGGGTGTACGCTGCTGACGTGAGCAAATGCAAAGACTATTTTTCCGCGCGCGCTTGTTTTTTCTGGTCGCGTAAGATTTGTTAAATAAAAGGGAACTCTTTAGCTACAATGTATCAATGTTATGTTATAAAACAAATGGTAAACACCACAGCGTACACTATTGAGTTATGGATTCACTTGGGAGGTTTGCTAAGCACTCAAGAAGCTAGAGTCGCTCTCGGCTATCGCCTCGCGCGACTCTTACACTTCTTTCGTGCTTAGCAACCTCCCGCATGCATCCATGACTTAATAGTGTACGCTGTGGTGTTTACCATTTGTTAATCAGAATGCACATTCTCCAAACTGTTCTCCAGACATTTCCCACGGTATTAACATGGAAAATTAGTTTAACAATCACGGGCTCTTTTAAGTTAGTGATAATTTCATTTATTCCTTTGACCTTAATGTCTGTCTTGCCCTTGTTAAATGTTCCCAAGGAGAAATTGCAAGCCAGTCACTGTGAGGGAAAAGAAGATCTTGACTAAGACTAAAGAGACCACCAGAAAACATCTTCAGTTCGTCCTGCAATGCTCAAACTTTAATATTCTACTGCCGACGGAAAACGAAACTGACAACAACAAAGATACACGATGTACATAGCAGGCCATATAACATAATTATATAACTGTAGCTGTTATTCCCCCTTTCAAACGCATTCACTACCTACAAATTGGCGTACGTAAAGAGTCTTCTTATGCAAACTCAGGCAAAAAAAAAAGCATGCTTATAAGTTACTGTACTGCTTGGATGTCCATCACTCCTTTATCCCAGTTCTTCTGGAATTCCATATCATTCTGTAGACCTTTTTCCTTTCCGAAGGCAAACCGTTTGGCTCCAGGGGTCGTTGACATGGCTTGCCCCAGCTGGTATGCCTCAATCTTCAGGCCCTCTTCAATAGGAGTTTCAACAGCAGACAGGACGCACCTTTTGCACGCTGTAATGGAACCTGCAGGAAACTTGGCTATACGGTTAGCCAGCTCTTCCACGAATGGCCCAATTTCGTCTGGGTCCAGCGCACGGTTGATGCTTCCGTATCGTTCTGCCAAGTCAGCATCAAAGTCATGTGCCCCCAGAATGATCTCCATGGCTCGACCCATACCGACCTGGCGTGGAAGTCGCTGCGTTCCTCCGCCACATGGCACTATGCCCATGCCGACTTCCATCTGCATGAATACCGACTTTCCCCTGGCGGCGAAGCGCATGTCACAAGCCAGCATAAATTCGTGACCACCCCCGCGGCCATTCCTTCTACCTTGGCAATGGTCGCTTGAGGAAGAGCACTAATCCGCTGTAACACCGTTTGCAGGTATAGTAATGGATCATCCATGGAACGTTCAGAAGCTGGAATCTCGGTTAACATGTCGATATCTGCATGGCATACAAAAATGTCAGGATGGGCAGACTGGAATACTACGACCTTGATGGAACGATCCGGCTCCAAAGCTTCGGCCAAACGATTGAGATCGTCCAACATCGGCTTTCCTTGAACATTCACTGGAGGAAAGTCAAATGTGACCCAAGCCACACCTTCCTTGATCTCTACTTTAAAAGTAGTGTATCCTTCATAAGCCATGATTGTTCGTCTTGAGAAAGCTATGCAAATGAAATTCAAAGAAAATTCAAAGAAAACACAAAAATAAATCAGTAATCTTCATGCTTACATTTGGGACGGGGGAATAAAAGTCCCTTAAGGAATGAGAAAATTTATTATTTCAAATCATTATTGTTAACATTTGATAAGTAATGGTAAAAGGACTGAGTGGAGACCAATTCGGTCTGCATTCATTCGAGTAATAACAAAATCGGACGACCGTGCAGCTGGAGTCCGATTTGTTCATCACGAGTATGATTACAAACTGCATTGGACGACACGAAGTCTTAGTAGCAATTAATCATAAAAATTACAATTTCCGAGAAAAGAAGAATAGCCAAGTTATGAAAGAGACAAAAGCTGCTCACTGTACTTGCAGTTGCCTTTGATTTAGGGCATATGTTTTTCTCAACGGTTCGTTTGTCGAATGGGTGCTATTCGGAAAGCAACGCTCGTCGACCGTGTGATACTCGGAAAGCCATGCTTGACGACCATGTGCTGTTCGGAAAGCCCCGCTTTTTTGTGCTCCATGTTCGGAAAGGTTCAGCCACTGATGGACAATTGTACGGGAGAAATTTCAATAGACGCGTAACGCCATCGCAACTCAGTTCATACTGTAATGCCAAATTTAGGACGACATTAATATTGCTACGTGCAAATTATTGAAATGTCCGGGGGAAAATGAAAGAAGGCATAATTGGACGATAAGTTTTTCAGACACATACTTTGATTTAAAGGCTTCGATATTCATAATATTGGAAGCGCCATCAAAAACTAAAGCCGATTTTAACGCATATTTAGAACAATCTAGAGAAAATAAGATTGAGCTCTTGAGCAGAAGAATGCACCGATGACTGAATAAGCCATTTTGTTCTGTGGACTGAAGATATCTAACCCTAATCCTAGGAAACTTTGTGTACGGAGTTCAAATATATTCGCCAAAACTTTACTTCATGCTACCTCTCTAAAAACTTGTTATCGAGGGCTATGACCATAGTTAATAGAGGGGGTCCCTCTATTAACTATGCTATGACTGATTAATCGCCAGCAACGATTGTTATGTAGATTGACGCAGGGAGGCAATCATAGAAGCTCTAATTAATTTAAGTTGTTTACGTTTTACAGAGCTGACGTATTTTTGATTACCTAATATCATCCGTAAACTATTGCATATTCGCCGCGATCACGATGTTATCCTTTCAATAGACTTCTTCAGTCAAGTCAGGCTGACAACAATTTATTCACAAACCATCAATCATCCAAATAAATTGTTGTGCTGAGTCAGTGGGCGAGTGAAACATTCGTTTTGGTCAACTATAGATTAACCACGGCAGGTATACGGCTGTTGAAAATTTTTAAAATTTGCTAGAATTTTCGAGCCGAGCATTCGTGGGAACAGCTGACTACGGCTATCGCTCAAAGAATACAAGAATATAAAGAAATACCTTTTGGGAAATAGATGTAATTATCATATCTTTGTGAAGTAAACTGATTATTGTGCGTTGCAATGTTCTCATTGCATGGAAGTCCCAGGTATTAAAAATCCGGAAAATATGCATTATATTTGCCACTGAGATTTTTGCACAAAGGGTAATGGGTGAGAAATTGTTAGTCGTTTGGAAAAAGCCAGATAAAGCAACGGAGCTCAAAGCGAATTGATGGCTTAAGAATTTTCGTGCATTTGAATTAGGCGTCCACTTAAGATTGCTATATCTAGTTTACCTTTGATAAAACAAAGCAAGCTAGCGACGCGATCTACCTATGCATCAATCATAGTAACTGACATCATCGATGTCAAGAAGATTTTTTTGCCCCATGCGAAGTCGGCTGCAGCGTATACGGTGAAACTAAACTCGCCCTGGGGAAACTATTTAAAGTTTAACGTTTGCACTCGAGGGCAGAATTCGATCAGTTTGACCAAGTTCGCCCGCTTGACAAATAGAGAGATGAAAATTCCAAATACGAACTCTTAACATAATGTCAAAGCGATCATATTACCTTGAATTGCTAACTTTAGGTATGGCTGTTTAATTTCAGTGCTGCAAAGAGTACGCCTTTTTGCTTCCCTTTGAGAAGTGACTCCTGAAAGCGTTGGAGAACGAATGTGTCTGGGCGTTGAGTGTCAGTGTGCTTATTCCAAGATAATTACTGAGGCGTCACTGCCATGTCATGTCATGTCACGCTGTTGCCATATCTCTTTGTCATGTTTTTCCACGCCTGATGTTTTGTTTTATTTTGAAGTACACTTGAACGTCTTTACAAAAGTTACTTTTGCCCGTTTAAACAGCCCCTTTGTTTGACTTCGTCATCCACTGTAACTCCACCCACGGCTCTCCCTTACTCAGCATCTTTCATCAGTTACGTATCATCTTAATTTTAGTGGCCTTAAAATACTTTCCTGCTGAATTTCACCTATCTGCATCTGAAGAGATAGGATTGGAGGTTTAAATAGCTATTCTGACCAGGAGTAGTGCAGAAAGGAGATTGAAATGTCTAGAAATCCAATCACATCACGAGACTACGTACGTTACTTTTTTTATCATCGAAAAACAAGACCATGGCATTGGCAACCCCTGAATCTACGAAGGGAGGGGGGGATAGTCCCGTGTTTTGTTTCACAAACTAATTTTAAGTTTTGACCGAAATTTGTCAACAAGCTTCTCGTTAAAACATTCAGGTCATATAGATATTGTCAATGGGAGACTTGCGCTCGCATATATACTTCTTTATTAGTATTAGCTTAGTTAAATTGGATGTGTTTCGAGAGCATCCAACACGGGAGCGGTTTTCTAGAATCGGGGTTAGAACAAGATAAAAATAGCAAGTGCTTCAGAAGTAATAAAATCATTACGTGACGCGTGACGCATAACAAATATGTTTGGAGATAGTTAGATCAAAAGCCGCTGCTTTATTAGGTGGATCGCGGGCATGGAATGGAAGTTTTTCGTGCTTATAGGACTCTTAAGTGGAGTCTTCGTGCTGATGATTTTTCGAATCCATTCTCTCTGTAGCGTCCCTATCGGCCTGTTTAGAGGATTTTGCACAGTTCGAACGACAATGAAGTATTTAAGCCAAGAAGAGGCTCAAAACATAGATTTAGAGTTGTTTGATGAGTATTCGTTTAGTGTAGATCAGCTGATGGAGCTCGCTGGACTGAGTGTGGCCGTTGCACTGACCAAAGCTTACCCCAGAGGACAAGATCATCCGAACATTCTTGTATGCAGTGGTCCTGGAAATAATGGAGGAGACGGATTGGTAGCAGCCAGGCATCTCAAATTGTTTGTAAGTCTGAAATGAGATCAATTTAAGGCCAGTTGGTCCTCTGGCACTCAAGTTCCATTTTTTTCTGTTTCCTCCTCACAATGTAGCTCATATGGCGGATCATATACCTGCTCATTTGTAATTCAGCTTAAACTTCAGTTACTCCAGGTTTCGTTGCTATCTTTTACCTCTACGTGAAGAAAATTTGATGACGAATCATGCAGAGTTAAGGCCTTTGTTTTAATGTTTAGTTGTCTACATGTTTGTTGTTGTTGTTATTAATAGTAGTGGTGTCGCTGGGAACTTTTTTTCTGAGAACCAAAGGAGTGCTAAATTTATGAATCTCTCAAAAACTTGTTTTGGTGAAGCACTGTTAAGGGCCCACTAGGCATTGTTTTTTTTTTGTTTTTTTTGTTTTTTTTTTGTTTTTTTTTTTGCAAAAAGATCAGTTCTGTGAGACAGTTAAATGTACCTAGTGAATTTTTGTCTTACGAAGTTTTTGTTAAGGCCTACCAATCTTCAAAGGCACTCTCGTCCAGCCTCAGAGCAGGACAAATTTTTTGTCAGACCTGAAATCTGACATATTTTTCAATTTACAAGCCTTGAAATTTTTATCTTGTTTTTTTTAAATACAGCACAAGTCTTTAAAGCAGAAAACCACTAAAATATTTGATTTTTATGTGGCAATCAAATGGTGAAGATGGAAGATTCAGATATCGGTATACCCAAATCATAATCAGAACATAACTATTATGGCTACTAAGTCTACATTCCAGTTACATCTACAAGTCCATCTGCAAGGGGGGCATTGGATTTCAGTTTTGCAATTCTGGCTGTTTTTTGGATTTGTTTTTTGCTTTTTGGTTTTTGCTGTTTATTACGGTTTGCAGATTTTCCATTTTTCTAGCATGTGTTTTTTTGGTTTTTGTCAAAAATACAAAGGGGTTTTGGATTTGGTATCTCATGTGATATGTTGTAGGTTCTTCCTACAGTAGAAGCTCAATTTAACGAACCTCAATAATGAAGTCCTCAGTATAAAAAACAATACTTTTCAGCCCATCTAAAGTTACAGTAAAATGTATGCCACAGAACTTTGATATATAACAAAACTTGATACAGCAAAATCCTTGTTATAATGAACACAATTCAAAATCCCAAAGGTATACAGATACCCCAATATAACGAACAAACATCAACGCCTGACCAAAGACGAATGCGAAATAGAGCAACAGTGCAGAATTATACAGTAGTGTTCTACTGTTTAGTACTGTACACACTGTTCATGTTCATCATGACATTTGACAAGTCAGCACAAAGGAAGGGGAACTCCCACACTCTTTCTCTTGAAAGAAAGGCACATTTTAACGAAAGACAAAATTTAAGACAATCAGAGAATTTTTTCGATTAAGTGTCTTGATTAGCAATTTTAGAGTAAAGTAACGGACCAATATCCCAGTCCCTTGGCACTTTGTTAAATCTAGGTTATACTGTGTTTGGTTTCTGGTTTCTCTTTGATCTGAGCAACAATTATTTGCCACCGCCTATCTATATGCCCTGCTTGTCACCACATCATCTGATTGATTAGGATTTTGATACCTGGGATGTGGAAATTTCTCAGTTTTGAGGGTTGTGCATCTGGTTTTTGGGCTTGATTAATTTTTTTGTGGTTTAGGATGATTTTTCTTGTGGTAAACAAAAATTTAGCTGTTTTCAGTATGTCCATGATAGACAACTTTAAAATTTGACAGATAAATTTTGTTGAGATTTTTGGTGGAGCCCAGTGCACCAGTGCCCTTAATGAAACATTGTTTCAGTTATCAACTTTAATCCTTTACAACCTAACATCAGCATCCATATTCTCCATACTCTTCTCTATACACATCTTTTGGTACTGGCAAGGAGAATTTGTTTTCCAATTAAAGTTCTCTGGGTTGGCAATCATTTCCTACATTCTCACGATCATAATGAATGACTGACGGCTGTGTTATTATCTAACTACACTACATAGACGAAATAACACCCAAGACAAGTACAAATATCGCACTGTAATTGTACTCCAGAGAACCTGTTAGACAGGTTTTCTTGCATCGCACAAGCAGCAAAGTGGATTGAAGTTACCAAAAAGATGGCAGACAATTTAAATCATTTTTCTGACGACAAAGAGTCAGAATGGCTGGCCAATATTGATCCAATTGCAAGTTTGTTAGATAATTGGACAAAGAAAAGTAGTGTAATCATCATTTATTGAAGAAAATAGAAACAGCAACATGACAACACGCCAATTCCATTCAGCTTGGCATACTTCTGTCAGGCACTCCCCATAAATAAATATCTGCGAAATTTACCCACGCAGAGTCTAACTCTGATGATGACTTCCGCACAGGTTGTCGAAACATCAGTCACTACCACCGACAACAGTCTTCAGGACTACACTCACCCAGATGATCAGACTACACCTTTACAAAAATTCTAATAAGATAATTATTTACTACAAGGAGGAATTAGATGCATGTCACTCTTAGAGTGTAATGGGTTAAGGTGGTAAACAAAGAAAATGCCACTTTAAATTTCCTTGACCTTGTACCTCTCATAAATGATCGACATGTAGCCTCTTCCTAATCCCATCACTCTCAATATATATCAAAAGGGAAATTCTCTGCACTGTCTGTTTTACATTTTGATTTTTTTATAATTTTCTCCCTGAGAATTACTAGTGTTAGATAAAACAATAAACATTAATGAATATTTTTCTTTCTGCTTGTTTCCCTTCCATTTGAAAAAATATTGATGCCGTAAGTACAAGCTCTTGGGTGTGTCAATTAAGGGGTGACAGTTCCAAAATATCAGTTAGCTTGCAAACAGGTTATGAGAACAGACTGGAATTTTTTCATTTTTTTTCAGTAAAGCTTGCCATTTCTTCTTTAATTTCCCTAATTCCTCAAATAGGAAGCATAACCTGTAAATCTCCTATACACCATACCAAGCATACTGCTCCCTCCAAACACAAAGTGCCTGCTCTTTTTGTTTTCAGTTGGTGACCCAAATTTTATCTCTGGGAAATGCTTATGATGAAAGGTTGTCAAAAGGTGACTTGGAAAATAGATATTCTTGAGGCCCTGAACTGGTTCTTACCTAACTCTATGGCTCCCAAGATCTGATTGTTAATTCTCGCTCTTAGCTACTACACATTTCCTTGTAAATTAGCTATGGGAATTTGATGTTACATGTAGATTAAGATTATAACCCATACTTGGTAAGTTTGAGTATACTCACTTCCTGTTTGCCAGATTATGTATCAATATTAATGGAGAAGTTACATGTTAATCACTTAGGGAGTCAAAAAGTTAATGTTTTGCTACTTTTTGACATTGTTTTCTGTTTTCATCAATTTCTTTAGGGATACCATCCAAAGATATATTACCCAAAGAAGTCAGAAAAGCAGCTTTTTAAGAATCTTGTTACACAGTGTGTAAGGATGGACATACCATTCATGGATGATATGCCTAAACCTTCACAGATTGATTCTGAGTACAAGTTTATTGTGGATGCCATATTTGGCTTTACTTTTAAGGGAAAGGCAAGACCACCATTTGCAGATGTATTATCAACCTTAGAAGAAGTTACTATTCCTGTTTGCTCAGTTGACATTCCGTCTGGTGAGATTAAGCACAGTGACATACCTGATACGAACCCACTTTCAAAGGTTACTGTACATGAACACAGCCACATCATGTACGGACTAGTACATCTACAATGCATGTACATTGTGCTTTGTGATGAAGCCATTATTTTTTAATTCATTTATACTTAAGTTTTTTGTACCTTTTGTTTGTTTGGTGTGTAAAAAAACAACATTATTGGAAATGTTCTCATAATTCTCTTTCTACAAAGAAAATCTATGAAAGAAGTAAAATCACCTTTTATATTTATGTTTTACCATCCCTTAAGTGCAGTATACTTCTGTCTTGGCCTTAGCTTTTATTTTTAATTTTGTTTCCATATGGAAAATGACAACTTACAGTTTTTACATAAAGGTTTTTTTCAGCTTTTTCAGAACACCTGACAAGAATATCTGCCAAACAGAGTCCTACTTTTGAAACACTTCACATTTTTACTGCAAGTTTTCTTTTTCTTTGGGAACTACTTTTTTTGGGAAATATTTCCAAGCATTGTTTTCTCTAATGCTATTATGACATGAAAATGAAATACCACCAGAATGTTGAACAAGAATAGCCATAAGCTAAGCAAAAGAGAGTATACTTAAGTAGCTGTGCTCAGTCACATCCATGATATTAGGGAGTTTTATTTATATATTTGTTTGCCATTTATTTCCTATCAAGGATGGCATGTAGAAAATGGAAATCCAGTTGGGATACAGCCAGACTTCCTCATATCTCTTACAGCACCCAAGCTTTGTGCAAAGCACTTCAAAGGGAGATTTCACTTTCTTGGAGGCAGATTTGTTCCTGATTCACTGGCACAAAAGTACAACTTGTCTCTCCCAGATTATCCTGGAACAGAGCCGTGCATACAGCTGTAAACAAAGGGACTTCATAATAAAGCACAGTGACATTGTCAAGAAGTGTTCTCTGTACATTGAATTTAAAAAATCAGAAACATTCTTAACATTGTGACCATTGAGGAAGTTTGATGTGATTGGCACAGTGTTGTAAATGTAATGCCTTTCCTCTGTGGTTTTCCCCTAATAAAAGGAGCACCAGGAACTGTGCAGAGGCTGCAAACTTATCTGGAAACTGAAGTTGTTGTGGCTGTACTTATTAAAAGGAATGTAAATATCACTCATATCAGTAGCTTTTGTCTTCAGGTACAAAATGTATTGTGATTTGCAGAAAATCCTCACAAAAATTTTAATTTCACTTTCTGTAAAACAGTTGTAACCCATCTTGTTCAAAGAACAGTAATAAACTGCAAACATCCAAACTGTTCCTCTAATTCATTTGCATTACATACATGTGGGTCACACTTGTACATCAAATATGTCGATCACATGCTTACAGGGCATTTTAGTCACTACCTTTTCATTCACAGCTTACTTTATGTAATAGTGGCCGATGGTCAAATGTCTACCATGCCTCTCTAATCATCAGTGGTTTTATACCTGCTGATTCACCCTCCCTATGCATGTGTGTCATCTCTACAGATTAAAAAATGTTGAACAGGTACTGTGCAATTTCCCAGACACCACTCACAACTTTAACTTTTTGAAACCGTTACTATGACATTAAATTTAATTGCTGCTAAAAGTAGTGTACAGTCAAAGTTGTATCAAGTGGTCATCCACAGGGACTGTCAGGTTGAGGGGTTGACTGCCTCAAACAGGTTCCAAAAAATAGGAAAAATCTAATTAAAAAATGATATAAAAAACCATATTACACCACTAAATGAAAAACAAATCGCCCAAAAATACTATTAACATTGACCTCGGAAGTGAGTGTACATAAGAGGGGGAAAAAGTCCGTATTTAGAAAACTGACTACAAAAAACCATGGTGAACTTGATTAATACAGCTCTCCTGTATTTGTCAACGCTAGACCGCGTGTTTGGATCCAAAATGATTGACCCAAGGGTCATGTTTCAGTTTGAAAGTCTGGAAAAAAATGTGTACTCTTGGTAATGAGGTGACTTCACTGATTATTATTTAGAAAAAATCTTTAAGCTCAGCAGTCTTTCCTCAAAGTTGAATGTACATACAAACATATAAATACATTAGTCACTCGCATATAGATAGTTAATAATATTTCAGTCATAGAGAAATTGGATGCAAAGTATAAGTCAGCGTCAATTTATTTGCCACCTTGATCCTTTCTTCGTTCCTCGACAAGCATCACTGCATTTCCAATAAACTGTTCACTTGACTGTTACCTTCCAACTGATGAATAACCATAGCTTAAAAAGTGGTATTCGGAAAGAGTTCCCTATAACCTCATACATTAATTATGCATTCCATTAAGACTAAATATAAAGGTTTTTTTGCAACACTCTATCCATAATCAATGTATGGGGTTACATGGAACTCTTGCCGTGGTATTCTAAGCATTCCATTTCACATATTTCATTAAATCTTCCAAACTAGAGTTCCATTTGGCGTATTTCTTGAACAATCGAAGGACTTCTTCCTGACGGCCGTTAGACGTTGTTTCGTTAATTCGTACCATTAGCGACTTGGCTAATGTCTCTTTATGCATCTCCAGTTTAACGAGAATATTGTTTACTTGTAGGTAAACGTAATACGAAAAGGTCAGGAAAAGACTCCAGAAAATGATCGACAGTATAAAACCTTTAGGCGAAATTATTCCCATCCTTTTAAGCCTTCTCCAGATTCGTAAAATTGTTGGATTGTACCGAGCTGCTCCTTGCGGCATTCTGGATTTTGCAGGGTCTGGTTAGATGCTAATAATGTTTGCACGTCGATATTTTTCTTAGCCAAGTCCTGTTTCGAAGATGAAATGAGATCTGTTATGTTAGACTGACATTAACTTTCGTTCAAATGCAAAACTAGCGCATCTCAATGTGTTGAGACAACAAAATAGAATGGCAGGCGTACATACACTATTTCCCAGGCCCGCTCGATTAGGATCTGCAATAAAAGTGAGAATCGTGGAACGACTCATGATAGCATCTGGTATTGAGCCTGATAATAATCTCGTCCGCATGTCTGTCTTAAGTTTGCAGGTTTATTGATAATAGAAAAATAGTTTACTTCACATACCCATGCTTTGAAATCTTCGACAACCTTGAATTGGCTGCTAAATGAGTTTGTCTTTTAAAATCCCAACTCAAGACTGCGATTTCCTGAGACTTTGGGAATAACACTTTAATATTTGATTCTCTTTATTTAATTTATTGTGCTTTGTCTTTCAGACCAATTCAGATTCAAATATATTTGGAAAACAATGTATGAAAACAAACAAACAAGCAAACAAACTAACTAAACAAAACCGTGAGACAAAGGAAAATACAAAAATAAAGCGAAACAGTAAAAATATGTATATAAAGAGGAATGAGAGAACGAAAAACTGTCTTACTGCTCGTCTGAATTGAAGGTTTCTTTCTACCAAGGGAAAAACTAAACGAGAAACCTAATCGAATTTGTGATCATCGGCCAACTTCGAAAGTATTCCAACGCCTCACTTCTAACTCGATACAAAAACTAACTTTTGTTATGTCCCTGCAAACACAACCTGAGGGCAAATGATACGTTGTTATTTTACGTCTAGTGCGAGTAAATTATCCAAAAGTCTAGTCTATTTAACATTCACAGATTGAATTTCAAATAGCTGCTTTTTTTGTTTTTGATTTCAAAAATGAACTTTTAGTTTACTTTAGCTATACCAGTTTGAAATGAACGCATTTTTTTGGAATATTTCTAGGTAGGATTTGGATTTTGATAAAGTTAATATTTATATTCATATTCGAAAGCCTGCTACAGGTTCATTAGTGATCATCAGTTTTTATCATGTTTTTGTTGCAAGTAAAGCAACGACTTTTTACGTTGAAATCCTCGAGTTAATCGCCAGAAGAGCCAGTCTCTTAATTCTAATATTTAGAGAAACTCGCGTAACCAACATTTTTGTCGGTGAGCGCCTCTTGTGCTTTGAAGCAGCAGAGCAAATAAGCATTTCATCAACCAGATTTGGTTCACTTGACATGTGACGAGTGAAATTAAACCAGACGTATCTCTAGAATTATTTTGATGACTCCCTTTAAAAACAAACTCAACTCTTAGATCGACTGCGACTGCGATTACCTGCAACTTTGGGAATAACAATTTAATATTTGATTCCTTTATTTCATTTATGGTGTTTTGTTTTTCAGACCAATTCAGATTCAATTATACTTGGAACCAATGTATTAAAAGAAACAAACAAACAAACAAACAAAACAAAACAAAACCGGGACACAAAGGAAAACCAAAAAAGAAAAAAAGAAAGAAGAATGACGTAAGGTTCTTTTTCATTCGAAGAGGGATTCTATCAGTCGTTCTAATAAATCAAGCCTTTTAGTTTTAGCTACCACATTATATCCTGAATCATGCCCATCAACAATCTACCTGGCATCGGCCACCAGTATTGCATATCATGCCATGAAGTTCCACTGAAATGCCGTAAGTATTGTATATGGAAAACTACGAACTGTTCTCAAAGTGCTATCAAACTGAATGAGATCCAGAAATTTTTGCACATTTTCTTTCGAAATTTAATTTGATCATTATTATTTAAATTCTATTTCCAGAGCTCTATAGTATCGATTATTCCCTTCAGTTACCTTTCACTAGACAAAAATAGACCACAATAAATTATATTTGCTGAGCCAGTCGCTTTGCCACTCTGCGAGCTGTATACCGTGGGCTGTTAAGAGTTATTGCGGCAACCATGGCAACCTCTGCTCGGTCAAACCTGGAGCCCATTGTGGCGGCATGAGTCGTGACGTAATCAAAAAAGGGGTCGGCCACCCCTTTCCTATATCACTCAGATGGTGATGCAATAGTTACGTTCGATCCGAAGAAGTCGAATTTTTTGACAAAATATCATCTAGTACCTTGAGATTTCAATTAGTAGTTTCCCCCACTAAAGCGGCTAGAAACTCTGATCAGAGTCCAATACTCAACTCATTGGTCCTGGATAAAGTGAGTTAGTGTAAGTCTTCCCACGAGGCGTAAGATCGAAGGCCGAAGTTCCATTGCCTATCAGGAAAATAAAATACAAAGCTCTTTACTCGGTAGGTCGATCAGTTTTTTTCGTTATGTCATTTGTTATAAAAGTTAAAGCCGGCTGAGTTATAGATATATTTCCCAATCCGGGCTAAACACGGTCGAAAAAGCAAGTGTTTCAACTCTGACGCTCCCGAACGGCGCAAACAACGGTTTTTCGTGGGGTTTGGAACTCGCTTTCTCCGCACTTGCTTGAAACGGATGGTTTCGTCGACTGCAAAGCGATTTAAATCGTTCGGAGTAGCCTTATATTTCATTTAATACGCAGCCCTCTTTTTAAATTAGCGTTTAATCACTTTTCTTTTGCTATGAGGTTCCTATACCAGTTCCGAGAAGTCCGGAGAGGCAGGCCGAAGGTTCCCCTACGAGACAAATCTTTCGGGTTACCATCGCTGCTCTTCTTCTTGGTAAATCTGTGCCGTGTTATTTCGTTTTAAAACTGTTTTCTTTCGTAGTTCGACATGATTTTGCACTGGGACAAAATAAATTTAATTAAAACGAAACGAGTTAGAAAAGAAACGATCATGGAACAGAGCGATGGAATACAAAAGATCAACTTGTCGGCGAAGCTATAGCCCATTGCCATCGCCTGTGGAACATCGATAAGAAACCTTAGCATACATTTTGCGAAGGCAAACTGAAGATGAGCGTCTCTAGATCTAATTATAGATCGTGATAACTTGCATTTATCGGTTGAACCTTGGTTTACGTCCGAAATATACGTAGTTGTTCTTTCTAAAAGAGTGAAATAAACAAAGACTGCTATGCGGCCTTCAGAAATCAAGCCGAACAACAATTTCTGAAACACTTTCTGAAACACTTTGAATGTTTCATCAAGGTTAGAGGAACTAATGAAAATTATGTATTTTGAATTCCACTTTCAAATGATTAAACATCATCGCAGTCAATGGCACAATTTTAACAGATCCTGAATTGAACGTTTCTTTCCACCACAAGAAACTAAACAAAAAACGCAATTGAATTTCTGACCATCAGCTAAACTCCAAAGGATTCCAACTCCTCAATTTCAACTCGATACGCAAACTAAATTTTTTATGACGTCGCAAACCATCAACCAGAAGGGCAGACAATACATTGTTATTTTACGTCTACTGCGAGTAAATTATTCAAAAGTCTAGAGTATTAAGCATTCACAGTGAATTTGAAATATTGAATTCCAGATAGTTGCTTTTTATGTTGGTAATTTTACAAATGAACTCCTAGTTTACTTAAGCTATGCACATTTTAAATGAACGCAATTTTTACGAATATTTCTAGGTAGGATTTGGATTTTAATATATTTGTACTCATATTCGAAAGCCTGCTACGGGCTTAGCCTCGGATCAGTGATCATCAGTTGTCATGTTTTGCTCGCAAGTAAAGCACTGTATATGACTTTTTACGTTAAAATTCTCCAGTTAATCGCCTTAAAAGTCAGTCTCTTTATTTTAATAATTATAGAAACTCGCATGACAAACGTTTTTGTCAGCGAGCGCTTCTCGTGCTTTAAGCGGCAGAGCTCATAAGCACTCCATCTACCAGGTTTGGTTCAGTTGACATGTAACGCGTGAAATTAAATCAGGAGTATCACTAACGCTATTTTAATCTTGATGACTCCCTTTAAAAACAAACTCAACTCTTAGCCTTTCAGAGAACGATATTTTCATAGTATTCCCTTTATATTCCTGACTTTACTCTTTGAGGCAAAATTTCCAAACAGACGGCTAATATTCAAACATCACGCGACTCGATGAAATAACGACACTACATGTTTTGGAAATTCACGCTGCTGTCTGAGATAGATAAAACCCTCCATTCTGGTCTCCATGAGCAATCTTCATATTTCATATAGCTGCAATTTCAGTTCTGCTGCATCAAATTTCTCACATGCACTGAATTATGCCATCTATGATTAGATTTTGAACTGCTGGTTGGTTAAGACATGTTCTACTTATTGCATGCATGTAGAGGCCAATCGCGTTACTAGCACTAAAATCAAATTACGAAAGAGTCATTTTGTTTCTAGCAAGTTCTAAATAGATAGACTTGGATTTTCTCAAGAGAGGAGGATCATGCTCTTGTTACTTTTAACTGGGTGCCATGTGGCTCTTAGACTGGACTTCACAGTTCTTAATTCAGATTCCGTAAAAGGTTTATTTTCTCAACGTGTCATGCAACCTAAGCCCTTGGACTAGTAGCCGCCTTTTCGGTGATGCGGCTTAAATTGCAAAGCACTTAAAAGCATGAACAAAGGAAACTATGTAAGCGCCAAAATAAGCTCTCATATTTTCTAATTTTACATAATTGTATTCAGCCAGGTGCAGTCGATTTTAAATTGTAAAAAGTATACTTCCTTTGCTAGACGAACAATAACTGAATTATGAACAGCAAAAATGCAAGAGAATCTGTTGTTTCCCTTCACAAATTATGTTGTCATTCGCATGGTAGAGCCAAAACGAGCCGGTTTTTACATATAATCTACCGGCCCCGCCGCCAAAGTAGGGCTTCGAATCTAACTTGAAACGCTACCCGGCTCGTAAGTAAAAGGTAGGGAAATCTGTGGAAAGCATTCTTTTTCCGTTCAGATAGTTAAATCGTTCTTTGTCCATCGTCGCGAATAGGGGAGAATCGATGTCGAATCAGTGCCGCACCCAAAACCTTCTGATTGAAAAGCGATGCGTGCAATGTCCATGATAGGTCTTTATAGCCTTTATTATAAGAGTGTTATACACGGCTTTAATAAATAAACTGATTCCTGATTGTGCTGTATAGTTCAGTGATTATTGGATGACATATGACATTGTATGAACAAACACA